CTATAGCCATAGCAATGCTATAGCCAATATATAGGCGACACTACTAGCAAATGTGTGGGTGTATCTCGGGACATAATAGTGAGGTCTTACACCAAGTACTACCCCAGCTATGAAGCCACACATTGGGAGCGAGGTCAATTAATTGAGTTCATATTTTCCCGTGATATGAACTCAATCTGAATTGACCTCGCTCCCAATGTGTGGCTTCATAGCTCAGTTGGTAGAGCATCGCACCGGTATTCTTGGAGGTCACGGGTTCGAATCCCGTTGAAGCCCTGATTTTTTAAGGCTTCTTCTTTCCAATTGCTTAAATTGGAAAATTTAATGCAGAAGTTAATGTTTAGCGAAGCAGCGCCCAGGCCCCGGCTCGACTCAACCTCGCCCTCGCCAGAAGCCCTTGCTGGGGGCCGTGTCGCCTGGTACGCTCGTTTCCGCGCTCGTTTTGTACGCGTAACTGTTGTTTCTCCGGGTTGTTCCTGCATATTTTCACCCCTCCCTTTCCCCCTTTTTTTCCTCCGGTCCTGTCCTCTTACTTTACTCCACCGGTTTCCACCGGTGTGACTTGGTATAGAGAGCCTCGCTTTGGTCGCGGTTTCTGTAGCAACCGTCCAAGCACCTACACCCTCGGTCGGACCCCCAACTCGTTTCGGGGACCAGGCCTCTGTAGGTGCTTCGCCCTTTTGCATCCCCTGACACTCCTCGCCGGTGGTCGCGTAGCGCAAACATTAAGGACCTGTTTACAGGGAGAGAGGGTTACCCTAGTTTTTCACGTAGTATCAGCCTTGCAGTCTATTGTTTGTTTACCCTAGCAAGCGGGTTACCCTAGCAGGCCGGTTACCCTAGCTCTCACACATTTCCTATTTTTTCCTTTGTCGTGTTTACAAGGCAGCTAGTGTTACCCGGGAAGGCGGGTTATCCTATCTGCGTGCTAGGGTTACCCTGGTAGGCGGGTTAATTCTCTCCATTGTAAACACTCCAGGTAGAGTTAACCCGCCTACCCGGGTTAACTTTCTAATTGTTTCCAGACCCTTTGAGTGTAACTGCGCACTAAGTTGTCCCGGGTTGTAGGGTTATCCTACCTGTGAAATTTTGCTTGTAAACCCGGGCTATCTTTTGCCCTCCAGCTAGGGTTAACCCGTTAATTTGCGCTTGCTAGGGTAACCCTCCCTCCTTATGAACAGGCCCTAACTTGCCCGCCAGCAGCTGACCTTGACCAGCGGTGCTTCCCAATGAACCAATCAGAAGAAAGTGAGATCAACGAGTGGCAAGTTCAAAAGTTTGCCTTCGCTTCTGTTCGATGTCGAAATAGTAAACCTGCATATTTTGCCAAAGATTTTTGCATCTTCTCAACATTTTCCTTAAAAATTGTTGTGTGAGAAAAAGAAATGACCGAGCAACAACATAACTGTCTTTCGGACGGCGAAGAAGATCCAGAAGAGAGTCAGATCGACCATCCCATAATCTGCCACAACGATGGGGACATTCGCAAAAATCTCTTCGACGAGTTTGACGTTCCAGCAAAACAGAAGACATCTTCGGACAGCTCTGGGCGCGAGTACATGAAAGTTTATTTGAGAGTTCGCCCTTTTAGTGATGAGGAAATCGAGGGAAATGAAAATCAACAATGCGTTGAAAAAGAAAGCCGTACAACCGTCTTGATGAACGCACCCAAGGAATCGTTTGCATTCAAAAACAGTACTCGCGCTGGTGGCGAGATTTCGCATCGATTTTCGTTCACTAATGTGTTCGATGAGGAAACAACGCAAAAATCGTTCTTTGATGAAACAACACTACCCTTGGTGACTGATTTCATTCACGGACAAAATTGCTTGGTTTTTACATACGGAGTAACGAACTCGGGAAAGGTAAGTTTGAGACAGAAGGAAGTTGCAGAAGTTAGTCATGCATAGGAGAATAGAAATAAAGAATTACAGTCATTTAGCTCCATGGTTAGATCGCTCCAAGTCAGTTCACTCCAACCAAAAGTTAGATTGCTCCACACAGGCCGAGTTCGCCACCTCAGCTAACCGAGTTTGGCTTGGCAGTGAACGAGGAATAATCTATATATGCGCGTTAATGGAGAGAACTGACTTGGAGCGATCGAAGTGACCGGATACCAGAATGAAACGACGCGCAAGAATAAAGTAATATTTGTTTCAAAATTGTAATAAGCATATTTTAAAAATTATCTAAACAGTCGCGGAGTTTCTGCTTTGAATAACAGATCAGAGAATTCCTTCCGGAGAAAATCAAATTCCGGCAAATGTTGTGAATAGATTTTACAAGCTCGAAGCTCCAGCAAGTAAACAACTAGTGGCCGTACTTTACATTTCCAAGTTCAGAAATTTTGATACCCTATGTTGAGGTGTTTTTGTAAAATAATCGCATTTGAAATTGTGACGGGAGTTACATGACTGTAGATTCTAGTTTATAAGTTGTCAAGTTTGTAAATCATTACATTGTACCATGAAAATGAGTTTCTGGAAGTACAATGAACTCTTTCAAATACCTCCAAAACAACAGTCATATTTTCAGGGTTATATTGGCAAACATATATACCACTGAAATTTAATACATGTACACACACAAAAAAAGGATTTTTATTTTGGCAAGTCAAATAAGTCTACATGTACCATTGTGTTGACAGATCTTTGAAGAGTGCAAGGTAGGTACTCTGCAAATTTTATCAAGACGGAAAGTTGTAATGAAAACTTTTACCACATGGCTGATATCATTGATTGCCCAAATTTATTTTGATTACATATTTCAGACCTACACAATACAAGGTACCCCTAAGGATGGTGGAGTACTGCCTAGAAGTCTTGATGTCTTGTTTAACAGCATCGAGGGGAAGCATTACCACAGGATGAATCTTAAGCCAAGGTTCTGCACAGATGTTACAAGACTCACAGATGATGAGGAACACAAGGAGAATAATTACAAGAGTACTTTGCTTTCATCTCTTGATAAAGAGGTGTGTGTTAATTGCCACACTCTACCATTTTCTTTTTATGGGTCTGTTTGCAGTTGTTATCTCCCAGTTTGTCTAGTATGCCTGAGGAGTAAAATGGCAAGATTCTTTTCAATTTTGTACAATGGCTTACAGGATGGATGATTGGTATCACCACCCCCTTACACCAAACCCCTACCCTAGGGGTCCAAGGACTGTTTCTTGTTGAGCCTGTCTGATTCTTGAGCAATCCAGCATGGCTGGACCTCTCAAGGGACACATTTACTTTGAGCCTCCCAGTTTTAACTTTTAAACATAATTAACTTGTGTAAACCTGCAGATTTACTGGCACATAGCACTTTATTTAACTTTTGTAAACCTGATTTACTTGTTCATACATGTTGATGTAGCACTATATTTAACTTGTTTTTACCTTAGTGTATCTTTACCTTAATATGTATCTTATTTTATATATCTAAATAATTCTTATTTATTAGTTTTTAATTCTTAGTCAGCAGGACCCCGTTGATAACAGTACAGTACTTTGTACTGAAGGGTTATCCTGGGTAAATGTTTTATTATTATTATTATTATTATTATTATTATTATTATTATTATTATTGTGCAAACCTGGTTGAATTGTTCATAGCAATCTTTGTGATTTTTAGACTTTTGATCTCAATGCTCTTCTAAAGCTGGACCAAGATTCCACAGCTGAATTGTCAAAAGCCAGCTGCACTGACGAATCAGCTTTACATAACACATTCAGAAGTCAGGATGGAAGAGAACATGAAGGTAACTACATGTAGAACTGACTGCTAACAAAAAACTTTTGTTCACTTTTGCTTTAAATATAGGAAGATTTCTGCTTTCGAGTAGTGTCTGCAACAGACAAAGGGTTTCCACATTAAAAGCGGCAACTTCCCCCTTCAGTATTTTCTTATGGGTAGCCTTCAAACTTAGCAGAAAAGCATCTCATAGACAACGTAGGCAAGGTAAAGCCTGCATGAGTGAATTTATTCTATTATTGCAGAACCCTCTATTGATGTAGACGAAAACATCTCAAGAGTAGTAGATGACACCACAATCAATGTTGATGCCCAAGGACCTGTAAAATTTTCTGTCTGGGTGTCTTTTGCTGAAATCTACAATGAAACCATCTACGACTTATTGGAACCATGTCCACAAGGGAAGGGCAAAAAGAGGACAACACTCAGACTTGGTGATGATACGAATGGAAACCCTTACATTAAAGGTGTGGTCACTCATTTCTTGCCAAAATATAACCAAGCTTTTTTTACAGTTAAAACTGCTGTGTAAGAACCTAGTGGTTTAAGAACCTGCTGGCAGAAATTTGCCATCTTAAAACCCCAAAATATAAGAACCTGTTTAGCCAAGCAAGAGCAAGCAGGTTCTTATATGTGGGTTACAGTTTGAATATGAACTCTTGTTATAGACTCAGTGAGGCAACCCTAAATATAGTCCATTCTGTAATCAGTTGTGTTAAGTGCATCTTAATATAGTTGTGAATACGTGTATAACTAAATACGGTATTTTAAGGACCAAACCCAGTTTATTCATTTTTCTTGTTATCGACAACTATATCTCCTTCATAGAAATTAAGAACCTAAAAAGAGACTACTTAGCCTAAATTGCCAATAATTCCCCCAAAATACAAGAACCTACTGTATTTTGCCAGACTTATGTAGGTTCTTACACGCGGTTTTTCCTCTACATACATTTGAGTGGAAAGTGAGACCACAGCAATTCTACAGAATTTTATAAAAGCTAATTAAAAGAAAAATTCCAGTTTGTTTTGCAGAAATGTAGACAAATTCTAAATGTAAACAAAATTGTAAACAAAAACGTAAACAAAATATAAAAATTGGCTGATGAGGATTGTTGTATTGCAGCTAAAAGAATAGGCTTGATTTCCAGCCATTTTGTGAGCCTGCATTCCTTGTGGGAGGAGGATAAACAAT